CCCCCAACCCAACCCCAACCCCAACCCCAAACCCAATTTGATACCCCCGGGGATTTTTTGCCTTCGCGTGAAGGTCTTCCTGAATTCGCCGCCGGGGATTTTTTGCCTTCGCGTAATATCACTTTTTAGAGAGGTACAGTTAGGATAGTAAAAACCAAACCCGTATCAAACTGGAGAGATATATGGACTAGCACCTCAAAATATGTTATCTTTAGAAAAAATAAAATATAGAAATTGCAAGTTTAAAAATTTGAAGACCTTATATTTATGTGATATTAAATAAAATAATCATGGATTTTAGTGAGGATTAATAAAAAAACTCATTATATTTAGATAAGGATGTCCTTTAAATATCATTTTTGTCCATTTTAAAACGCCTTAACTTATCAAATTTAATTTTCATCATGGAAGTGAAAGGTATTTTCCAATGTATTAAAGAAAGTGAAAAAATTTTATAAGTTTCTCCCAAAAAAGGAAAACATATTTAAAATGCAGAAAAAGATAATAAAAACATTTATCAAAAGGAGAATTTTGAAAATATAATAAGTGACTTAGGCAGATTCAAAAAAAAAAATATTGTCTTAAGATAGTTATAATTCAACTATAAAGAATAATTTAGCTGATTCAAAATATCATTCTTTTCATTAAGAAATATCTCAAGAAATATTGCTAAAGGATAAACAAATTAAAAAAATGATTTTTCGTTTAACAAGGTAAATTGAAGATGATTTAGAAAATAATGTTTTAAGAATATAAAAAAATTCAGAAGATTCCGACTATTATTTTAATAAAGGTAAAATTCAAATGGATGGTATTTAGCTATTACTCTAGATAAAATGAACAGATTTGAAGAAGCGTTGGAAAATTATGATTCAGCAATATAAAATAATCCAGAAAATTCTTATTATTATTTTAATAAAGGTATTCAAAATGGATGATATTTAGCTATTACTCTAGATAAAATGAACAGATTTGTAGAAGCGTTGGAAAATTATGATTCAGCAATATAAAATTATCCAGAAAATTCTGACTATTATTATAATAAAGGTATAATTCAAAATGGATGATATTTAAGCTAAAACACTAGATAAAATGAATAGATTTGTAGAAGCTTTGGAAAATTGTGATTTAGCAATTTAAAAAAATCCAGAAAAGTCCGAATATTATGCTGGCAAAGGTAAAATTCAAATTGGATGGTATTTAGCTATTACTCTAGATAAAATGAACAGATTTGTAGAAGCGTTGGAAAATTATAATTCAGCAATATAAAAAAATTCAGAAAATTCTTATTATTACTATGGCAAAGGTAAATTAAAAGTTGATGATATTTAGCTATTACTCTAGATTGCATGAACAGATATGTAGAAGCTTTAGAAAATTATGATTTAGCAATTTAAAAAAATCCAGAAGATTCTGACTATTATAATGGCAAAGGTACAATTCAAATGGATGATATTTAAGCTGAAACACTAGATTGCATGAACAGATTTGTAGAAGCGTTGGAAAATTATGATTCAGCAATATAACATTATCCAGAAAATTCTGACTATTATTTTAATAAAGGTATAATTCAAAATGGATGATATTTAAGCTAAAACACTAGATAAAATGAACAGATTTGTAGAAGCTTTGGAAAATTGTGATTTAGCAATTTAAAAAAATCCAGAAAATTCTGACTATTATAATGGCAAAGGTACAATTCAAATGGATGATATTTAAGCTGAAACACTAGATAAAATGAACAGATTTGTAGAAGCTTTGGAAAATTGTGATTTAGCAATATAAATAAATCCAGATAATTTTGACTATTATTTTAATAAAGGTATATTTCAAAATGGATGATATATAGCTATTACTCTAGATAAAATGAACAGATTTGAATAAGCGTTGGAAAATTATGATTCAGCAATATAAAATAATCCAGAAAATTCTGACTATTATTTTAATAAAGGTATAATTCAAAATGGATGATATTTAGCTATTACTCTAAATAAAATGAACAGATTTGAAGAAGCTTTGGAAAATTATGATTCAGCAATATAAAATAATCCAGAAAATTCTGACTATTATTTTAATAAAGGTATAATTCAAAATGGATGATATTTAGCTATTACTCTAAATAAAATGAACAGATTTGAAGAAGCTTTGGAAAATTGTGATTCAGCAATATAAACAAATCCAGAAAATTCTGACTATTATTTTAATAAAGGTATAATTCAAAATGGATGATATTTAGCTATTACTCTAAATATAATGAACAGATTTGAAGAAGCTTTCGAAAATTTTGATTCAGCAATATAAATTAATCCAGAAAATTCTTATTATTACTATGGCAAAGGTAAATTAAAAATGGATGATAATTAGCTATTACTCTAAATAAAATGAACAGATTTGAAGAAGCTTTGGAAAATTATGATTCAGCAATATAAAATAATCCAGAAAATTCTGACTATTATTTTAATAAAGGTATAATTCAAAATGGATGATATTTAGCTATTACTCTAAATAAAATGAACAGATTTGAAGAAGCTTTGGAAAATTGTGATTCAGCAATATAAACAAATCCAGAAAATTCTGACTATTATTTTAATAAAGGTATATTACAAAATGGATGATATTTAGCTCTTACTCTATATAAAATGAACAGATTTGTAGAAGCGTTGGATAATTATGATTTAGCAATTTAAAAAAATCCAGAAAATTCTCACTATTATGCTGGCAAAGGTAAAATTCAAATTGGATGGTATTTAGCTATTACTCTAGATAAAATGAACAGATTTGTAGAAGCGTTGGAAAATTATGATTCAGCAATATAAAATAATCCAGAAAATTCTGACTATTATTTTAATAAAGGTATAATTCAAAATGGATGATATTTAGCTATTACTCTAAATAAAATGAACAGATTTGAAGAAGCTTTGGAAAATTATGATTCAGCAATATAAAAAAATCCAGAAAATTCTGACTATTATTTTAATAAAGGTATAATTCAAAATGGATGATATTTAGCTATTACTCTAAATAAAATGAACAGATTTGAAGAAGCTTTGGAAAATTGTGATTCAGCAATATAAACAAATCCAGAAAATTCTGACTATTATTTTAATAAAGGTATAATTCAAAATGGATGATATTTAGCTATTACTCTAAATAAAATGAACAGATTTGAAGAAGCTTTGGAAAATTGTGATTCAGCAATATAAACAAATCCAGAAAATTCTGACTATTATTTTAATAAAGGTATAATTCAAAATGGATGATATTTAGCTATTACTCTAAATAAAATGAACAGATTTGAAGAAGCTTTGGAAAATTGTGATTCAGCAATATAAACAAATCCAGAAAATTCTGACTATTATTTTAATAAAGGTATAATTCAAAATGGATGATAATTAGCTATTACTCTAAATATAATGAACAGATTTGAAGAAGCTTTCGAAAATTTTGATTCAGCAATATAAATTAATCCAGAAAATTCTTATTATTACTATGGCAAAGGTAAATTAAAAATGGATGATAATTAGCTATTACTCTAAATAAAATGAACAGATTTGAAGAAGCTTTGGAAAATTATGATTCAGCAATATAAAATAATCCAGAAAATTCTGACTATTATTTTAATAAAGGTATAATTCAAAATGGATGATATTTAGCTATTACTCTAAATAAAATGAACAGATTTGAAGAAGCTTTGGAAAATTATGATTCAGCAATATAAACTAATCCAGAAAATTCTGACTATTATTTTAATAAAGGTATAATTCAAAATGGATGATATTTAGCTATTACTCTAAATAAAATGAACAGATTTGAAGAAGCTTTGGAAAATTGTGATTCAGCAATATAAACAAATCCAGAAAATTCTGACTATTATTTTAATAAAGGTATATTACAAAATGGATGATATTTAGCTCTTACTCTATATAAAATGAACAGATTTGTAGAAGCGTTGGATAATTATGATTTAGCAATTTAAAAAAATCCAGAAAATTCTCACTATTATGCTGGCAAAGGTAAAATTCAAATTGGATGGTATTTAGCTATTACTCTAGATAAAATGAACAGATTTGTAGAAGCGTTGGAAAATTATGATTCAGCAATATAAAATAATCCAGAAAATTCTGACTATTATTTTAATAAAGGTATAATTCAAAATGGATGATATTTAGCTATTACTCTAAATAAAATGAACAGATTTGAAGAAGCTTTGGAAAATTATGATTCAGCAATATAAAAAAATCCAGAAAATTCTGACTATTATTTTAATAAAGGTATAATTCAAAATGGATGATATTTAGCTATTACTCTAAATAAAATGAACAGATTTGAAGAAGCTTTGGAAAATTGTGATTCAGCAATATAAACAAATCCAGAAAATTCTGACTATTATTTTAATAAAGGTATAATTCAAAATGGATGATATTTAGCTATTACTCTAAATAAAATGAACAGATTTGAAGAAGCTTTGGAAAATTGTGATTCAGCAATATAAACAAATCCAGAAAATTCTGACTATTATTTTAATAAAGGTATAATTCAAAATGGATGATAATTAGCTATTACTCTAAATATAATGAACAGATTTGAAGAAGCTTTCGAAAATTTTGATTCAGCAATATAAATTAATCCAGAAAATTCTTATTATTACTATGGCAAAGGTAAATTAAAAATGGATGATATTTAGCTATTACTCTAAAAGAATTGAACAGATTTGAAGATGCTTTGGAAAACTGTGATTAAGCAAAATAAAAAAATCCAGAAAATTCTTCTAAGATATATAATCCTTAGAAGCATTAATGGTAAAATTTAAAAGAAATTAATCAGCCTAAGATTTTCTAATCACCAAACACATAAGAAATATAAAGAAACTATATAAATTGTTAAGCTTAGTCTTAATTTATAATATGAATAACATATTTATTTTCGATTTCTAATTAAGAAGATTATAAATTAGAAATCTTGTTTTTGTATTTAACATCTCCTTACAGATTATTAATCCCTCAATTAAAAATGAAAGCAAGATATTTCTTTTGAACAATAATAAAGTTAATTTATACTTTTTATTTTCATTTTCTGAATATAAGCATTTTTTATATTTTTTAATTTTTTTAATTGCAAATAATATTTTTGGTCTATCCTCCATCCTATCTATCTATGAAGTTTTCACACTAGATATTCTTAATTTATTTTTACTATAACTTGGCTCCTTTCCAAGTTTATTTTTTTTTTGGTGTACTCATTTTTCAGTTTGTTCAAGAGAATCTCTTTTTTAAATTCTAAATCTATATAGGGTTAAAAAGACTTTATCATCAAAAACTGCATTAAAATCAAGTCAATTAGAGGTTTGATTCTTTGAAAGGTTTAATTATCCTGATAATTCAATAGAAAATGATTGCCTTAATTTAAAAAAATATAAATTTAACTTTAACCTAAATTCTCATTATTCCACTTTTTATTATACATAGCCTGAAAAAGATTAATAATAAATGATTGATTGTATCTTGTTAGTTATCTTAAATTGTGGTTTTAATTGTAAATACCAACTTTAGAATAAAGGTAAGAAGTTTTAATAGAAGTTCAAATTAATTCTTTAATTCATGCATAACTTTTTAAATTTCAAAATTACCTTGAATAATAATAACAATATCCTTAAAAATCAATTTTTTAATAAATTACAATATGTATTGGGGCATAACTAGTTATTTTGATGAATAAAATGTAGATTGAAGGATATAGTATATTTATA